AACTGAAGGCCTCCCTTCAGCGTTTCCCCCATGTAAGCCTTGACCGGGCTGGAGAGAGCCTTCTTGGGAGGAGTTCCTTCCCCAGGGAGGCTTGCCTCCCATCCCTCTGCTAAGCTTTTTTTTTTTTTTTTTTTTGGGGGGGGGGTCAAGGACCATTTAACAAAAATACAGATCTCCTCAATCTGGCCCCAGCCCCTTTCCTGCAAACACTGATTAGTGGTTTGTCTGGCTTTTGCACATTTTTTCTCTCATTCTCAAAGGCTGAAATGCCTCTCTCAAGCTTCATTTCTCCAGCGTAGCAGTAAGAGCTTAAGCGTAAATAGGCTTGGATTTTTTTTTTACTCAGCCCTTTTGCTTTTGGCTGCCCCCACAAACTTCTCTAAAATGGAATTCCATCCTCAAATGGAAAGAGATTCACAGCAAACACATGGAAGGGGAGCCAGGACTCACATCAGCCCGAACACCAAAAGAGTGTTCTGACAGCCGCAAGTTCCATATTAAGAGAAGAGGCATGTAAGACCCTTTCCCAAGAGTACATACAGCACAACAGCATTGCTAATAGGTGCATAAAAGTTCAGAGGCATGTTCCTGCTTCCCATCCACACTGCATTTGCATTTATACCCCGCTTTTTTCCTCTTGTGAGGAATCCATGGGAGATTACATATTTATTTATTTATATTTATATCCCGCCTTTTTCCTTTCAGGGAAATCGAGGTAGCTTATATAATTCTCCTCTCTTCTCAAATTTATCCTAAGAACAACCCTGTGAGGTAGGCTGGGTTAAGAATCTGGGTTAAGAATCTATGACATCCCAAAGTCACCCAGGTGAGTGGGGACTAGAACTGAGTCCAAGAGCCACGCTCTTAACCACTGCACCACACTGGCTCTTATGAAGCTCTCATCCTCTCCATTTTTATCCTCAGACCAACCACACTGTGTGATAGACTAGGCTGGGCGTGAGCGGAAGGGTCAAGTCACCCAGTGAGCTTCATGTCCAAGTGAGGACTAGAATCCAGATCTCCCAAGTCCCCGTCCAACACGCCAGCCACCACAGCACTCTGGCTGTCTGGTTTGGGCTTCATACACCTATTACATTCTATCTTAACACAACATGGACCACAAACTGTCGACCTGGGGGCTAAACTCAATTTAGGATAAGCTCTGGGAGGCCATATTCCAGTGGCAGGGAGGGATGTGCAAGGAATCCACTTTGAGGATGGGAATTCATCAGAATCCCTCGGCTTGGCTCCCCCAACTCCAGACCATTTTCTCATGGCTGTGAGTCCAATCTGGCACTGGGTGTGCCAAGTATCCCCATACCCACCAGGTATCAAGCCCAAGCTAATGCGGTGCAGAGCCCCTCTTCTGTGCAAGTAATCTGCAGCCTATGTTTTTGCTGCATGTGCTGCTTAAGAGGGATGCTGGTTGGGAAACCGGAATTCCACGTCCATTCACAGACTCTTTCTCAGCACAGCTCACTCCTTAAGCCAGGGCTAAGCATGAGAAGAAATCCGATGAACAGAAGAGAGTGGAATCCCGAGAAGATCTTCCAACCCTAGCCAACAGTAAAAAGGGATGGCCAAAATACCCCATACTAGCATATTTTACATTAAAGCTCTTTGTGCTAATAATTAAGCTTTTCCACTGGAGGAAAAGTACACACCTGGCCTGGGAACCATCAAAGGATTGGTGGTTGGGGTAGAGAAACATTAGGACCCACAGATGTATACTATCTATCCATTATCTACCGGACTACTCAAAATGTCAAAATCATTGATTTATAGAGATTCAGTCCATAGGATCATAAATGTACTTTTGCAATCTGCACACAGACTGCCAAGATGGTCAGGCGATGGAGGTAAAATTAATTACATGGACATTCTTCACTCAGAGGATGGTTGTCTTTTGCAATGCCTGGCAAGAAATCTGGCTGACATCACAGCTGCTGCCACTGGGTAGTTCCTTTCAAGGCTGAGAAAACGTTAACCTCCTTTCACCCTCCTCTGCTGTCGCAGCTAATCATGGGGAAACGGCTCCTGCTGGATGCAAGCATCTGGTTGCTCCTAGCAGTGTGGTACCCGTCACACCTGCTGGAGCCATCACAGGTGAAAACTGACAGAGATAAGAAGGCTTGAGGGGGTGTTACTTCAAATAAAGCATGGAAGTATGACTATGAACACTCTCTCTCTCTTTCATGCATGTTCCCTCTCTCTCAGTTCAAACAAAGAATGAACAGGGAAAGGATGACTCTAATACCCAATCCCAGCTTAGAGGGGATTTTTACAAGGACAATATGCAGCATGGAAGATTAAGGTCATGAGAATTGCTGTAACTGGGCCTGGTCCCGATAAGGCCTGCTAAGGATCACTGCCCTTTTCATTTCTTTTTTCTCTGCAACTGAGATGAGCTTTAAGAACAAACTGAATGGATACTTCCCTTGGCCTGTCCTCTACTAACCCACATGGACTCCAAAGAAACTGGTTGGCCTTCAAAACTAACAATCTGCTGCTTGGGAGAGGGGAGTATGCCAAGCATTCCAATATGGTCAATGGCCAGAGATGATGAGAGTTGTAGTCCAAAAACACCCAGCAGGCACCAGGCTGGGCAAGATGACACACATGCACAAGCACTAGATGTTCAGAGACTCCGAAGTATCCTTTCTTGAAAAGCCCTGCTCAGCTCTTGGGAACACATTCCTTTATGGAACTGATCCACCTCATAGCTGGTCTTCTTTTTCTGCCTTCAACTTCCCGTAGCATTACTGTCTTTTCCAGTGTGTCTTGCCTTCTCGCAATAGGCCTGAAGTATGACAGCCTCAGTTTCATTATTTTTGGTTCCAGAAAGAGTTCAACCTTGTTCTATTTATTCACCTTTCTGTCATTTCAAGGGATTTGCAAGGCTCTCCTCCAACACCCATGCATTGAACTCAACAGTCTTGTCAAAACTAAATATATCCACTTCTTTCCATTTTTCCTTGTAGGCAGAATTAGTTTCTATTCCCTGATCATCTGAACTCAATCTAATTTAAAGAGTGATGTTCAGAATTGAACATAATATTGAAGCTGAGCTCTGACTTGCACAGAGTAGACCTATTATTTCCTGATGTATTTATCAAAATGAAGGATCTCCCTGGACCTAACAATAACAGCAATCTTCCCCAACCTGGTGACCACTACGATACCCATGTTGGCTGGTGATGAAGGAAATTCTAGTCCAGGGTGGGGGGGCAGATACAGGAATGCTAATACAGAGCTTGTTTTATTTTATGAAACAGAAGGGAAATAAGAGGGAATCTGCGAGCACAAACCCTGCCTCTCATTTCTGTCCTGTTTCTAGGGATGCAATATGTCTTATATCATTATTCACATCTCTATTTTTAGGGTAACTTGTTAAAAGGCAGCTTACAAAATTCAAAAGTAATAAAAACAGCACACGAAATTGGTAGCAGTAATAAAACTTCAGCATAAAGCTAAAATAAAACATTGCATGACACAATGAAAGTTCCCTTAAAATTGTTTGCTTGAGAAAAGAGATCGGTGAAACTCAAAAACACGCACAATATGTTGTGTGTCAAGGTCACCCAACAAAGATATTTCAGGGCAAGAGTTCCCCAACTCTTGGTTCAAAGGATGCTTACCTCTGCTCTTGATGAGGCTTTATTTTCCCAATTAAAATTGTTTCATCATTGTGGCAAAAAATTATCACCCAGACTCTGAAGCAGCCCTCCCCACCCTGGTGACCTTCAGAGGCATTTGCACTGCAACTCCCAGCATTCTCATCCAGCAGGGCCATTGACTGGGAATTCTGGGTGTTGCAGTCCAAACATGTCTGGAAGGCACGAAATTGGGGAAGGCTGCTCTCTAGGGTTAGAACACCCAATTCAATTTTATCACAAATGCTACATGAAACTACAACACCCTCAGAAGTTTTGCATTTCTACCATTCGTGTTCCATTTGCAAAAAAATACAGACATGGTCAGGACAAGTGTGAGAGGGACATCAAGCAAACTGTTCTGCCAGGAATGTTTCTGCAGGGTGGTGGGGAATCCAGCCACACACATGCAACATACACATACACAACACACACGCACGCACACACAAACTCACAGAGGTAGGGGAAATAAACTGCATGAAGAAACCCTTCACGGAAGAGAAGACCAACTGTCCCCAGCAGCAACCCCAAAAATAAGACAGAGTAGACAGAGAAGAAAGCAAGCATATTTTGGCAGTGGGAGTTCAAGTCTTCTGGATTTTGACGGAATTGCCCTCAAGTAGTAAAGCATATTTAAAATTGCAGCTATCTTCCAAAAATCTGGTGACGAGTTGGAGAGCAGCTCTCATACTTCCAGGCAGCACGGCCATTAGAATTATGGCATCTGCTGCCCAACACATTGAGTTTGGGAAGGATGGATTACAGACTTATTTTATCATCTGGTTTATGACTCTCTTTTAATTGAATGTGAAATATACCTGCCCTCGTGATGATGACATCATCATCCCTATGGATTAGAAGCCTCAGGACCTGGACCCTGAAAGCTCCACCACGCCACTATTTGCAGTCCAACTATTCCAACAGAGAAGATGGGGAATTAGACCATTCACAGCAAAGGGCTGTCTAGCAACTTCAGTAAGCAAGATCTTTGGTAAGGAAAAGCCTCAGTATCTAAGTTATCTCTTGCAGTGTCAAGCTGCTCATACTTCTCCTAACAGTCAACCAAAATCTACCATCCTATAACACAGGACCATGAGATCTAGACTTGTCCTATATGACAGCAGAAGACAATTCTTTGCCCTTGTGTCCAACAGACCTCATCTTCAAGCTGGATAAGAGCCACCAAATGCTTATTGTCTCAGATTCATAGCAAGCCCTCCAAGCAGAGGCCTGCATGCATGCAGCCCCACTGACTCCTAATCTAGGGCAAAATCAAAATCCCCAAAGGGAAGTGAAGGGTTTCTTCCAATCCTCGACTAACAGGTTTTTTTCCTCCTCAGTTGGTACCTGTAATTGCTTTTTTCTCGCCTTTCTCCAGCTTGGCTTGGGGCGATTCAGTATCTCCGCCATGTTCCATTCGTTGCTCCGCCCTTTTCATTGCCATGCCTTTGAAGCTCATCTGAAGCTGGCTGGTGTACTTCTCATGCTGAAGGGGAAAAACAAGAGGCACAGTGTGCATGGAGCAATGTAGCCAGGAATAAGCAGCAACTTCAACAGAAGCTCTAACAGATAATAAAGAATCAAGCCAGGAACAGGGCACCCCATAATCCCAGAAAGGAGAATTTCCAGGCTCTGGAACTCTCAGCTTCACACACTAGTGTGTCAGTTTGATACATCCTTATCTATAAATCTCTAGAAAGTTCAGACCTGAAGAAACATCTCCTTTCTTTCCCCAAGAAGATTACACATTTTCCAGGTAACTTTTATTTGTTTCCAAACTGGCTTTGGCAGGATTGTCTGGTTCCTTGCCTACTTTGGCCCTTACAAGAGCAGCTTTTGAAGCAATACCAGGACCGGCCCAACCATTAGACAAAAGTGAGGTGGTTGTTTCTGGTTGTGGGTTTTGGAAGGCATCGGCAAAATGCTGGAGAAAAGAGCAATGTGTGCCACATGGGCTGCTCTCTGCCCTGTAAGCCAGCCCACGGCCTTCAAATGCAATGAGGAACACTATCCTATCCACCAGCATTTTTACGAAGATTCCACTTTAAATGCAGAATGGGAGGAGACACCATTTTGTCCTTCTTTCCCAGAAGCAAAATGCACTGGGCCAATCCTTAGCAATGGTGATGCGAAGAGAAGAAATGTTTCCTGTTCTCCCATAAATCAGTCTCATTTGAAAAAAAAAATGTTTTTATCCTTCTCTATGGCACCTGCTGCAGAAAGATATATACAGGACACATACTTCCAACACAAAAGTCATCTTCTTCATTTGCTATGGCAGGGGAATCATGTATATGTTTACAGACCAGTTTGCACATTACGTTCAACCAGAGCACAGCATTCTCAGCTCACAGGTTTAATGTATACCTTGCCAGGGTCCTCAATCTGACCCACAAAGCCTCTTGGGGGGTCTTTTAGCATCAGGGCTTAGCTTCTAAGCCCCACTCCCCGGAGAGAATCCCAGCTGTTATCAATTTAGCATTATGTACAGAAGCAGAACTGAGCTCATGAAAAGCACCAGTTTCATGCATTCTTCTCTTCTGTGCCCAGAGGGCAGGATAAACCAGAATTTCATTTTGTAGATTCTGGCTTGTTGTTCCATGCAAAACCAGGAATTGTGGTTTAAAACAATTTTAGCTTGCTAAGCATGCCAGAAAAAATCATCCAAGTTTTCAGGTTGCCTTGTTTAGCAACTGATTTGAGCAGGCTTACCCCAGCTGAGCTAATGAGCCAGATGTGGATGGGGATGATGGGAGTTGTGGGCCAGCTCAATTGGGAATGAACAGGCTAGACCTATTTAAAGTAATTCTCATTCTGGTAATGAGTAATTCTTGTAATGAGAAGTCGGGTATCTACAATAGTGAAAATGCTACTCAAGAGGAGAGCAGGACATGCTCCATGGAAAAAATACCTGGGTTAAGCATTTGGCTGCTTGTGCCTGTAACTCTAACTCTTGGTTTAGCATTATATGAACTGGGCCTTCATGTTTACAAATGCACAAAAACTAGGAGCTGAACCGGTTTCAGTTTTGGGCAGGCCCAAGTCTATGGCGTAGTGAACCCAATTTTCATTTCTACAGGGAAAATTAACACGAAGGGCAGACTTTATCAGAAGTCATGGCGGGGGGGGGGGTGTGAAAGTTTCAGTACAGTAAGTCTAAAGACAAGCAAGCCTCCAGCTGTTTTCAAATAACCCACTGCTGAAGCAAGCTACTGTAGCCACTTCAAGTTCAGCTGACTTGCCACTGAACGTGATACAGGATGCTCGATCTGGAGGGTGTGTTTCCATGAATTCTACTGTTCACATGGTGCTCCCTGGAAAAAGCACTGGCCCAATGAATTATGCCATCTGTCTTACAAAGCAGCACCCAATTCCCTGGGGTTGGGTGACCAATATGGGGACCACAGTCAACATTTCAACTTGCTTTAGCCAAGGGTTTTCATGGAGTCTCAACTTTTCCCATTGATGTGAGTATGTCTGTTTTTAACAAAACAAGTCTCTAGAACTCAAGACTCTGGGAAAAAGCTTGAAAATGTGTAGGCACCTTGTCCTAAGGGATAGGTGGAGGCACCAAAGTAACAGTCTCGGCAAAACAACAGAACTCTCCTGTGGGGATTAATGCTGATCTAAGATTGTTTCACCATAATTCACTGGGAATTTCTCATGGGAAAGGTCTGTGGAAAAGAAAGGGAGCAGTGAGGCAAAAGTGCACCTGTACTTTTGCACAATGCCAATGAACATCAATCAAACTCGTGCAGAAGGTCTGGATGGATTGCACACAATTTATGCCACATTCATAAGGGGTAGGAGCATGAGAAGCCCATTCTAAAGCTCAAGTAAGCTGAGAGTTTAGCCAACTGAATCCAAAAGCAGTCATGACGCCCAAAGCACTGTGGAGGTTAGAAGTGCTGGACTGGCAACCCAGGAGATGTGGGTACTGATCCCACTTGGCCATGAAGTTCACTGAGTGATTTTAGGTCAGACTCAGCCCAACCCACCTCACAGGGTTGTTGTGAGGATAAAATGTAGCTATGTAAGCTGCCTTGGGTTCCTCACAAGAGGAAAATGGATGGAATACAAATGCAAATACTACTACCCAATAACAACAACTACAACAGAAATTTGGGCAGAGAAAACCTTGCCCATATTGTCACTGATGCTACTCCAAGAAACTCAGGGCAGCCTTTTAGCCTCATAAAGAGTAACTGGCCAAGCCTCTGCAGGGAACTTCATTGCTGAGTGAAGAACTGGACCCAAAATGGACACATTGGCTGATTGCAAGGCAGTGTGGTAGAATGCTTAGAGTACTGGATCAGGCCCTGCGAAGCTTGGGTTCAAACCCCGAACCAACCATGAAGTCCACAGGGTAACCCAGGAACAGCTGGTCTCTCAGCCTAAAGAACTTTGCAGCTTTCTTATGGGAGGGGAAGGAAGGAGGCAAGGAACCATGTATATTAGCTCTTCAGAGCAGTGGGCAGATCACCACCACTGCAACCACAACCTTGTCACGTGACCTCAAGCAAGATTTTCACTCCTGAGGCCTAAACGGCTTCAGTGCCCAGCTTAGGAGCTAAACCATTTATAATGGTGAATTTGCATTAAGGCCAGTGCAGGTGATGGCATTCTCATTACGATCCAGATTCAAGCAAAAGCCACATTGCATCTTCTGTGTGAAAATACTCTCACATCCTAACTTGCATTACAGAGATGCTGCGAGACAAAAAAACATGAGGCTGTAACGGCAGCCATGTTGGATCAAACTAAAGGCCTGTCAAGCCCAGCCGTCTATTCCCATGGAGGCCAACCAGTCACCTGTGGGCTAAAAGCAGGACATGAGCCCAGTAGCAACTTGATCGTCATGGACCTCAGCAGCAGGCCTACAAAAGTTCATTTCCCCAATACTGGATGCAAAGCATAAGCCACTGATAGCCTTATCCTCCAAGAATTTGTCTAATCCCCCTCAAAAGATGGGCAGGTTTACATCCATCACTAAATTCCACAGTCTGACCAGGTGCTGTGTGCTTCCTTTTGTCTGTCCTAAACCTCCCACCAATCAGCCTGACCGGATGGCCCCAGGTTCTAGTATTACGAGAGGGAGAAAAAGGTCTGCCTCTCCATTCTCTCAACATCACACACCATTTTATATAACGCTACCATACCTTCTCCTATTTGCCTTTTTTATAACCCAAGAGCCCCAAACATGCAATGCCCAGATCTGTACACAGTATTCCAAGTGTGGTGATGCAAGAGCATTTCCATGAGGAGAGCTTTATTCCCTTTCCTAATTAGGCTCAACAACACGCATTGTTTAACTCCTAATACTGGAAACCCAAATCACGTGCTTCCCACAAGCATGTACTTAAATATTATTCAACTATTGCTAAAACGGGTTAAAAAGTAGGAACCAAAAATGAGAGAAAGCTGTGATTTTTCAGTAATCTTATCAGCAGTCCCAAAAGGTGCCACAATTAACACATGTTGCTCAATCTGCCTTGAAGAGTAGTGTGGAAGGGGGAATTTCATCCAGCATCTGAGGGTCAAATTTGGCATTACTTTAACTGTGTGTCTAGCAGGTCTGACTGGTTCTTATCCCTCCTGCTTTATTACTCTAGAGAAGGGGAAAGGGCTGTGTTGCGAGGCAATCCACTAGGAGTGCAGCTCTAGACCTTTCCTTTGGATCCCCAAATCTGCAGGAGGCCTCTGCCCACCCACCCTGCTATCCATGAGCACAGAGCTCTGATGATAATTGCTGTCTCCAAACTCTCTGGATCAGTCACACAAGCCTCACCTCCTGCTGCCCCACTCCCATGAATCTTCGAGAGTTTTTTCCCCTGAAATGAAACGCCCTCTTCTCCCCTGCCCATACATCCCTTTTTACAAATACTAATAGGAACACACACAGAGAGCGGTTGCTTACAGCATATATAAACTAGCATACATGCAAATTTGTGCCTTTTCTGGGTTTTTTTTTTTTTTTTGAGCAGCAGATCTTTCCACTGCCCAGTCCCACTCCCTTATGCTCACTTTTGCCATGCACTCAAAGAAATCCAAATGCTTACCTTTAGTGCTTCTTCTGGGACCTTGTGCTGGATATGTTCTAGCACATACATATTGGCATGTAGAGGAATATTAAGGAAATAAACAGGTTTAAATGCACTCATCAACTGTTATGCTAATGGGAAGCACCCCTAAGTCATTGTACTGTGAAGCCGAAGTAACTCAAGAAGAATTTTTAACGGTGATCAATGTTTGGAATAGTGACTAAAATGGCAAAGTGACAAGAGTCTCCATCTAGTGTGGAGAGCCAGTGTGGTGGTGTGGTTAAGAGCATGGGACTGGGACTCAGGCGATCTGGGTTCTAGTCCCCGTTCAGCCATGGAGCCAACTGGGTGACTTTGGGCCAGTCACAGACTCTCAGCCCAACCTACCTCACAGGGTTGTTGTTGTGGGGATAAGATGGAGGAGGAGAGATGATGTAAGCTGCCTTGAGCCCTTTGTAGGAAAAAGGCAGGATACAAATTGAAAAATAAATAAATAAATCTATGGTACGCTGGAGAACAAAGGGTCTGGGATGTGATACACATGGTAAAACTGAGTAAAGGAGCTATTCTATGCAGGTTTAGGCAGGAAAAAGACCTGTAACTCCCAGACATCTTGGCTGCAAAATGGTGCAAGTTGTAGGCCCTTTTTCTGTTTGAGCCTTTAAAACAGACAGGATTAGAGAAGGGAGAAACATAAACTATTTCTTCTTTCAAAACCAAAGTTTATTTACAGGGATGAGTTTAGCTTATTTATATGACTGAAAATTATATAATCAAACTCTAAAGCTGTAAAGACATTTTTGTTTCATAGTGTATAATTTACAGCGCAAAGTTTTCAATATGCATTTTGCATTATAAGTAAAGAAACCTAAATTATAATTCTAATGCTAATAATAGCAGCGACAGCAATCATAGAAGAGGGAGTCACTGCATCTTTTAAAAGCCTGTTACAAAACACCAGCTAAGACTATCCTGAGGCTAAAACTATGATCATTTGTACAGTGAAATGTCATAACTCTTAGATGCTCAACTAGAAAAAAATGAGCAGTTTTCACATGAGAAGGAAAAGGTGAATGTTATGACATCATTCATCCCTCGCCCTGTTTGCCTCTCCCTCTCTGCTCCTCTTAAACCCACCATGCAGCTGCAATTAAATTAAGCCATACCTCAGTTGGCAATCTAGGACATGCCCTTGTGATACAGAACGAAGTGCATGGCACTCGTTCCAAATAACTCTTCTTGTTGAGAACTGCTCATACTCACTGGGTTTTTGTTTTTGATGGTAACAGTTGGCAGTGCATAAAGCTAAAGCTTATGTTTTTCTGCCTTGGAAGTAGTTATGTACACAATGGCCACAATGGCCTCTGGCATCCCAGAATACCTGCCAAGGAGACAGAAGAAGCCGACATATTTACTAGCCATTGTGTATGACCAGCAAGAAAGTCAAATGGCCAGGCCAGCCTGCTCAGTGCTGTAGCACAGCAGTGGCACTTGCCAAACCTCTGATACTGGGCCACAGATACCTGTGTATGCTTTTTCTAGATGAAACTGAAAGCACATTGGCTCTCCGGATTAAAATTGGAGCCCGTGTTCTAACGTTTGCCTGGTCATAAACTGCTGTCATGATTGGCTTGGACAGGTCCTTGCATGACATAAAGTAACACACCTTGCTTTGCTTCCTTGTGTATTGGTGGCAGCTGGAAAATGCACTGTCCTTGCCTCCGTTGACTGCCACACACACGGTAGTGTACAAGTCCTAAAGTACTTTTTCCAAAAAAAATATGGAGAGATGGTTTGCAAGACAGTTCCTGTCCATCTCCACCTGGGCAAGAGGCAGCAATGCTTGGGAGAGGTAAGGGATGCTTGAGAGAGTATGACATAAAATGCAAAAGGTTTGTCCAATTGATTAAGAAGCTTCTACATTTGACAAAAACCAAGGACAATGGATGAAGAAGTCCAACAAAAAGGGCTTCTGTCTGGAGGAAGAGAAAGAACCCAACCAATGAAAGCTCAGGCTCCATCAGGAACCCAGGACCCTGGAAACTGCACTGAGCAATTGACAGAAGGCCTGTGCTGGAATAAGGCAGGCAAAGGGCGGGTGGGCAGGCAAGAACACAAATACTGCTGCTTTGTGTGAGACACATCAGAACTCCTCTACCAGCCAGGCCTTACATTCCAGCAACACACACACAACACAGACTAGCCTCTGATAGAACAGACTTCCCTAACCTCTTCCCCTCTAAACGTGTGGAACTACAACTCCTATTATCAATGCTGGGAACTGTTGCCCAGTACATCTGGAAGCACCAGCTTGGGAAAAGCTGCCATGGAAATAACCTAGTGCAATAAAGACAGCAAATCATTCTAAATGAGAAAAACTCACCTAGCTCATACAGTGGTACCTTGGCTCACGAACTTAATCCGTTCCAGGGCTCTGGTCGTGACCCAAATTGGTCATGAGCCAAGTCAAATTTCCCCATAAGGTTCGATGTAAATAAGGTTAATCCAATCTGTAACTATTTTTTTTAAATGTGAAGCAAAGTGACAAAGAACAACAAAGATCGCGGCCATCTCCCCCACCACCCCGAGCACGAGTCCAGCCATCTCCCCGCCCCCCCCCCAGCACATCCATGAACGCACCCATCTCCCCCCTCCCCTCCGCAGTGTGCCAGGATGAGGGGCACGTACAGGAAAGGGGGGGCACTCACAGGCGCGCTCCTGCAGGGAAGATGGACTCGATCTCGGCTATCTCCCCCCTGCCCCCAGCATGATCACGACCATCTCCCCACTCGGGGGGAGGGGGGGAGTGGCCGTGATTGCGGTCGCCACCCAATGCCGAGTTTGCGACCTGAGTCAACATTTTTATTAATTTTTTGTTTGCGACCGGATTTGGTTGTGAACTGAGGCGTTTGTGAGCCGAGATACTACTGTATTTATACAGAAGGGTTTGCTTCTGTTTTGACAACAGAGAGGCAGTGGAGGGGGAGACATGGAGAGAAGATAATATGGGAGTCTGAAAATGTAGGAAAGGCTTGTAAGTATTACATTAACAAACCCAGGATAGGACACAGTTGGCACACAGCTGGTGAAACCTGATAGTTTTGTCACAGGGGGCAGATACCCTTCTGCATGAGAACACTGCTGACTCAGGCAATGCGAAAGACAGTGAGAGCTATAAAGGGCTGGATGAGAAGGGAGCAGGCTTTAAAAATGCCAGTAGGGCAGGAGAGAGAGGAGTGAATTCCACCAAGCTGCAGCAATTATACGTGCAATTCCTTCTTTCCAGCAAAAGATTACCCAGAGTACCCCTGCCCTGCCTGCCCCCCCCCTCTCTCTCTCTCTCTCTCACACACACACACACACACAGAATGACCTGAACTGACAAGGACCTCAGCAAAATCTCTTGTCTGCTGCCAAGATCTTCTGAAATGCTAGCTATACTGAAACTTTGTTGAAACAGAAACGAAGCAGAAAAATACAGCTTGCCAATATCTTACATCAGTGTCTGGGTTTTCGCTCTAATAATACAATGTTGGAATGAGTGTGGGGGGCAGGGCAAGATATGAAAAGAAAAACAAAACAAAATGAGGAATGCACATATTGTGGCATCATTCAGGAAGTCTGTTAAAATCGATGCCTTAGTAACTAGGAAGAGGACTTTACCGCTGACCTGATTTCTATACTAGGAGGCAGTCAATGGGACTCATGGGAGGGTGAGGAGCGGATGAGGGAGCATGCATGATATGTAAGCACACCAGACAGATCACACAGTTTTTTGAAACAAAGACACATCACACAAATTTTGTAATACCCCAAGTTTAGTAATCTCAAATCTATTCCCGGCACTAACATAATCCAGACTAGATAATTCCCCATTTGTCATGCGTGCCTCCAACACAGAAACACCGCAAACCAATGCAAAGGAAATGAAGAGTGTGTTGGAAGATGCGGAAAGTACAAATAACGAAGTGACAACATTGAACAAAAACAGATAAGGGATCTGCACGAAAGAAGCAACCATGAACAGACTTCAAATGGCCATTAGTAGCCTACCAATGACTATCAAAAGGCTGGCTGGTTTTCCTTATTTCACAGGTTCCAGCTGTGAAATAAATTTGCCCACGTGAACAACATGCACAGCATTTTCGGAATTGATTACAGTGTTATCTGTGCTTGTAAGACAAACTAATGTGGTCTTCAAGAAGCTCTCAGGCACAAGAGCATCCATGTGATTTCTGGCAGAAACAACATTCCACAGCTGACTCTGGAGACAAGAAGACACAGTCCTGGATGTTATAAACACAGCAAAATGCGGGAGGACCACACAACAGCTGCCCTACTTCCAAGTCGAGTTATCTGCCCACCGAGCCCAGCACTGTTTGCTCAGACAGGCAGCAACGTTCTGCAGTGACCAGCAGAGGTCTTGCCCGATGCCTGCCACTTCACACGTGCTTCTTACATTTGGCATGCGAAGTCACTGCTCTATTGCTTTGCTCTACCCTACTCAGCCACCTAAGACTGAAAAAGAGACCGCCTATGTGAACCTAGAGAATTTACATTAGACAATCATACTGCATTCAGCTACCTGAACACATGATCAGAGAGATGGCACGACCTTCTAGGCCATTCAAGTCCAACTCCCTGCTCCATGTGGAACATCTAGAAGCATCTAGAAAACTAGAAGCAAGAACAGCAACATCCGGCCTCTACCTGAAGACCTTCTACAATCCCATTGGTCTTTCACCCCCAGGTAATTTTTATTTATTTGTTTGTTTGTTTATTTAGAAAATTTCTATGCCGCCCCATTCGCCGAAGCCTCGGGGCGGCTCACAAATCTATCAATTAAAATATTATACAATAAAAATATAAAACAAGTTAACAATATAAAATAAGTTGCCCTGGCCGAAGAATAAACAAATAAATAGTATTCACAGTTAAAATGATGTTTGAATAAAAAGGCTCCACTGCTGAACATCTTCGATTGATTGATTGATAAATTTATATGCTGCTCAAAAGCCTGACAGGACTCTAAATTGTGATCAATATCAATACACAGCAAACAGAACACGTACAGGGGGGAAGCGAGGAGGAAATCTGTTGGAGCAGAGTGAGCACTTATAATCAGGTTTTAAATTCAAGTTTAAGATGTTTCTGCTAATGTTCAACCACAATATGCCCACCTGCAATTTGAATCCCATAGAACTAGCTTTGTCTTCTGGGTCAGAAATAAATTCTTCCCATTGACTAGAATGGAACAAAACAGAACAATTATCTCCCCTGGCTTGGAAACTATGGTGTTCTTAGTATAAGGTTTTGAAGGAGCTTCTCCAACCTGGTATCCTCCAGACTTTTTTTTCACTACAACTTGAAGACCACCTGCATTCTGCTAGTAAGGCAGGCCTCAAAGGATATCATAGCCGAAGCGAATCACATCATTCAGCTTTAGCGTGATGTATTTCTGGTCGGGAATCCGTACATCATTCACAAAAGTCTACAAAAAAAGAAGGACAAAACATATTGTTAAAAGCAGTGATGGGGAATTGGGGGAAATACTTAAAACAAAACAAAGACACAGTGGATAGGATAGAAGGAGATGGAAAGATCAATGAACTTAGGAATTTATGCAACAAAGCCTGTTTAACCTTATGAATTCACTTGCCTAGACTTCCATACACTTGCCAAGAATTCACGGCATCCTCCCTGGCTTGCAAGATCAGCCTCTTCCTCTCTCCCAGCTGCTGAAAAGGGCTTCTAGCAATGCCAGAGCAGTTCACCCAGTCCTTGCAGCTGGAGAGAAGCACCCAAGAGCCGCAGAATTCTTGCCAAATTCATCACCCCTGTGGGCCACCCACCAACGGCCTGCCATAAAAACAGTGCAAGTCCCAGGCAACTGCAGCAGTGTGTCAACCTGCCCTGAAATTGATTCACCGAGTTAGAAAGGTCCACATGCTGCTTTCTCTGAACTGAAATACATGCACATCCATATGCTGTACTGTCTTAACATTAACTGATAGCTACCCCTGGGCACCTTGCAAGGAAGGCCTGGCTATAAATAAATTAATATAAATGTTAAAAATACTATAAATACAAAAGTGCAATGTGATCAACAAATCATAAAGCGACTTCTTCTGCTTCTTTGTCTTCGTCAGCATTCCAGCCAGAAACTTTCTGTAGCTTGATAAGTCAGCTATGCTACAGAGTGACTGCAATCTAGCAGATTTTTCCCCCCCCCAAATCAGATCACCGTGTTCCCAGGCTTCATCCTGCTGAGCTTCCACAAATCCAGACACAAGCAGTTTAGATTAAACCTGCCGGCAGCCCTCACAAAGATAACAAAGACGAATGCAGCAGAAGTGTGGACAGGATGGCTGAGGACTGTCCTCTTTTAATTAATTAATTTTATTTATTTATTTATTTATTTATTATTTATTTATATCCTGCCTTTTTCCTACAAAGGGCTCAAGGCAGCTTACATCATTCTCCTCCTCCCCATAGCAACAACCCTGTGAGGTAGGTTGGGCTGAGAGTCTGTGACCAGCCCAAAGTCACCCAGTTGGCTCCATGGCTGAGTGGGGACTCGAACCCAGATCTCCTGAGTCCCAATCCCACGCTCTTAACCACTACACCACACTGGCTTTGCCTGAGGACGACAGCAAGGCCAGCCCTACAATGAGGAAAGCGAGGCAAAAACCCCAGGAAGCGCTGATGGGTGGTGAGGGCAGGGCCGCAATGTCAGCTGCCTTGCCGTTCCCCTCCGATGGAAAACAGAGCTGCATATTCCACCTGGCCTGGCCTGCACGTGCTGTCCCTCAGGTGAGGCAGAAGATACTGCTCAATGGAGTATTTCACTACTAGAGCAGAATGCCAAGGTGAGGCTGCCATCTTGTCCTTTGCCTCAGGCCTCAAAATATCTTGGGCCAGCCATGATAAGCAGGCTAAGAAAAGGCAAAAGGAGAACAAACCTGGGTACTTGCAAGCTTTTAAGATTCAGGCGGGAAGGACACAAAGATGTGTCCCTGTCTTTCCCGCCACCACGAGCTCCCAGGAGCTCCCCACCTCCCGCGAAGCACCAGCAGGGACCCATGGGTGCTGCGAGCATTGTGGAGTTCTATAAAGAAGAAATATCCATGTGGCGGTTTCTTGTTTGGCAGCATCACATCCAAGATGCATCAAGCTGCAAACCTTTGCAAGTTTAGACCAAGAAAAGGTCTGCCACCTCAAGCTCAGCTGGTTGGGACATGCCAAGAGTTGCAGGACTGTTTTCATCTAAGCTTGCATTGCACCTTAAGTCCCCAAACTATTTTGCTTGGATTCTCAAACACATCTCTATTTAGATAATTTGTTAATTATCCTATAAGTATTGATTTGTTAACCACTGAAAACCTGTACTAACTAACTGAAGCTCAATCCAGACAAGACAGAGGTCCTGTTGGTGGGTGGTTCGGGACTCGGGATGGGGGACTTGGGCCTTGTCCTAAATGGGTTGCACTCCCTCTGAGGGACAGGGTTCACAGCTTGGGAGTGCTCCTCGACCCTGAGCTGTCTTTAGAAGCCCAGGTGACAGCGGTGGCAAGGAGCGCTTTCCTTCAGCTTCGGCTGATCCATCAGCTGTGTCCCTTCCTGGAGAATGATTGCCTGGCAACAGTGACACACGCATTGGTAACTTCCCGATTAGATTTCTGCAACGCGCTCTACATGGGGCTACCCTTGAAGACGGTCCAGATACTTCAATTGGTGCAGAATAGAGCTGCCAGTTTGCTGACGGGGACTGGGCGTTGTTCTCATATAACCCCAGTTCTCCGTCAGCTCCACTGGCTCCCGATTGAAGTCCGGCCCAATTCAGGGTGTTGGTTATGACCTATAAAGCCCTCAACGGCTTGGGCCCTGGGTATCTAAAGGAACGCTTGCATCCATATATGCCCTCCCACCCCTTGAGATCAGCAACAGATGCCCTTCTCCGGGAGCCCTCTGCGAGGGATATTAGGAGGGTGAATACCTGGAGGAGGGCTTTCTCTGCGGTGGCGCCCAATCTATGGAATGCGCTCCCCAGAGAGGTCTGCCTGGCGCTGTCGTTATTTGTTTTCGACGCCAGGCTAAGACCTTTTTATTTAAAACTTATTTTAAGTGTTAATTTATTATGTAGAATTTTTAAAAAAAATTTAAGCCGAGATGCACCGGGTTTTAATATTTTTAGTGTATAAATGTTTGTATGATTTTATTTTTGTTTTTGTTGTGAGCTGCCCCAAGGCTTTGTTGCGATGGGGACGGCATAGAAATGTTTTAAATAAATAAATAAATAAAGGAGATGTTTAAACTGCCTACAGATTAATAATGGATTACTAGAGAATGACAGTAATATCAACTAAATCAGATCAAATCCAGGGGAAATGGAAGACAAAAGCACAACCCGCATCTCCTTGATCCCATTCTTAGAACAATTTGCTGGCACATGACATCCCTTTGATCGACTTTTGGAAGCAAAGCAATATTATTATTGCATTACATTACATTTATATCCTGCTTTCTTTCCTCTTATAAGGAGCCCACCATTAACAGTATTTTAATAACTGAAATAGCTTTTTTATACAAGTACTTGTCTTTTGCTGCACTGATACTACACGACAACAACAAAAATTCTGGAATCCCAATCTTTCATTTTAATTTTCTTTTTCACATGCACATATTGATGCACAAACATGATGTTTCAGAAAACTGAATCTCTCTTGAGCCTGGGATGACTTTATCAGGGTCACAAGCAAGCCAATCAGCTACCAAGAAGAGGAAAGTGTTTCCCAAGAGCTCAATGCCTGGAAGAAGGTTGAAAGTCTCACCAAAAAAAGGCAATTAAATTGCCACCTCCCAACACGCTATTCAAACAGTACATGTCTAGTTTAAGAACTGGAAACTTATGGCCCTCAAGACGTTTCAGCCTACAACTCCTAGCAAACCTCACCACTGGCTAGGGCAGGATTCACCTGCCAAGGCATGTGGAGAAGACCCAATAGCTGCCCACCCCTGCTCTAGGTACCCCTACAATTTCGAGTGAACCTACAGGAGATCTACCAAGAATTTAGCCACAGCCTTGAGTTTAAACCACAAGGTCATTCTCTCCTCTAAGAATCTATTCATTCGGCACTGTGCACAGGCACATACACAAAAGAGTTCCTTTTCTCATAAAATCAAACCCCAATGCAAACAGATTGCAAACAGATGCAAACATGTGCTGGCATGCTGAAAAATCCTAGCTGTATGCAGCTGCACTTGGTCTGCGGGCCCAGTACAGGGAAATGCTGAGCGTGATCCATCTTTCACAGATGGGGTTTGCACAGCAAGCGGAAACAAGAAATTATCTGCAGCCATACGTTGCCAGGTTTTCAGCGTCACTGTTAAGATCTGACCTTGTTTGAGCCAAACTGTTTTAAGGATGAGGTGGTGGGGAGGTGCCAAGCTGACAAAAACAGAGCGAGTTCTCTGAACCCAGGACACTTTTGGGGCCTTTTAACTGTTTCTTCAAGGGCCAGAGTTTATCTTTGACTTGTTTCTCCTGCTGTTTACCCATAAAAAGAGGTGTCCAGGAACACACCCCGAAGCTGAAACTGCTCTGAACTTGGGCAGGAGAGAAATAAACCAGAAAGAGGGAAAACAAGCTACAGTGCACTCCTCTGAAAATAATTCATAACTAAAGTGCCAAATCATGGTCAGCATAAACCACAACTTTGCATTCTTCGTGAATGCAGCTACTCCGAAGTCCACAGAAATCAAGCAGGATCTGCTTCCCCTCTATGGCTTTGTGAAGATTGTCCGGCCATGAAACCAAAGCCATTTCTGTTCCCAAACCACACCGCTGTATCAAATCCAACCATTGTTACATTTGGTTTAGCCTTGTCTACTCAGACAGGTCGTGGCTCTCCTAAGTTTCAGAGGGTCTATCTCAGCCATACCTGGAGATGTCCCCAAGATACAGCCCACCTCAAAGATGTTTTCCAGTTGCAAAGGCCCATGCCTTACATCACTTAATCTTGCAAGGTTATTTGAAGGACTGCCTTTCCCCATATCTACCTATCTGCCCATTAAGATCTGGGCATGAGGTCCTTCTGAAAGAGCCATCCCTACAGGAAGCAAAAGGAATGGTGATTAGGCCCCCTACCTTTGGAATGAGCTTCCTAGAAAAGTTTGCCAGGCACCGTCACTACTTTCATTTTGGTACCTGGCAAAAATTGTCCTTATTTGTCTGTATTTTGAGACCTGATTTTAAGAAGGGTTGTCTGCAAGATCTCATTCTACTAGTTTTTTTCTTCCTGTAACTAGAACTCTACCAGGTTATTCAGCAGCCTATACATTTAAAAATAAATAAGTGTATATTTGGACTAAAGTGAGTGAAAATCCAATTCCATCATGGAGCAGATGATGGAATTGTAGGTGCCTGACAATCTGTGAAACTCAAATGGAGGAGCTTTAACCAAACCTGTATTTCCCTAGTTTCTAGTCCCAGCTCCATGATGGGTAAACCCACACTGGTAAGAAATCAAGTCCTTTTAGCTATTAATTCTGTGACTACTGCCTATTAATAGCAACAATACCTTCAAGTGATTATTCTAACAAGAAGTTGCATCAAACTCTTTGTAAAATCTGTTTTTTTCTTTAATCAGAACCCTTGCATATTAATTTATTGCTGAAACCTCAAATGTTTGAGATGGAATTACTCCTCAAATAATTCCCCTAAATTGTCCGATGCCATTCTTTTATTTCATCACCTACCTGCCAGGTCACTCTATAAATATGTTCTAGTAAAAGGCACTATAAATACAAAGCACTAAAACTAATCAAATTGTCAAATAAACACATCTCTTACCACAAGCTAAGATACAATACGGATAGGTAGGTTTTAACTAGGACTATAAGATGTCTAAAAATAGAGTAATTAAAAGCCCAGCCATAATCTGCTTTGCTCACCTGGAGGAAGCAGGTCTAAGGGGAGTCTAGCCCTTTACAGAATAAATCTCCTGGCTATGCCACCAGGAGACCAAGCAATTCATCTTAAGCAGCAAACCTTCCATGAGAATGCTCCATCACTCGGTGGTAAAGCACCTGATTTTCATACAGAAAGATCCAAGTTTAATCTCCTAAATCACCTGGCAAGGCTAAGAAAGACCAGCTGAGCTGTGTCTTGAGCTCCAGCCGTTGGATGTTCCAATGCATAGTACACATTGGAACTATTCTAATGTGGACAAGTCATAGGCCACTTTCTGTGGAATATGACAATTATTCATGGTCTTCTTGCCCAGAGGACACATCCCTGCAATGATCCTCTGGCTCAGAGGAAGTCCCTGGAAAAGCTGTGGTGGCTGGGGCTGATAGGAACTGTAGTCCTGCAGAAACTGGAGAGCAAGACATTTCCCAACCTTAGTCTAGCCAATCTTATGATTGGTGGTAGAATGGACTGCAGCCAAGTGAAGCAAACATGGCTCTCTGGGGAACCCTGAAGGGCTTGACTGAGAGCCCAGGAGGGCTTCCTTTGCTCACCCATCCCCGGTCTCAGCTTTCTGTCTCTGGGTCTATGTGATGCATTCAATCCACAACACACAGCTAGCTGGCCCTCTCTCAGTCCCACAGCATGGAAGAAGCAAAAGTCTCAGCCTCCCCACTCAAGCTTTTTGCTTTCCAGCAATCAACCTCAATGGTCCCAACTGAGGTTTTTTCCTTTGCTTTAGCCCCTGTGGAGGGAACAGGATGCTTGGAAAACAGAAACAGAAGCAGAAGGAGGTACCCAGCCTGGACTGGGGCCCTATGCGTTTGCTTGTGAGTTGAAAAAAAAAAGCAAACCAACCAGAAAGAAGGTTTGCTGAACACTGTGCATTTAATGCACTCACGAATGCTGCATCCCCTCCAGTGCACATGCCCAGTCCACTCACAGCGAATTAAAAGAAAAATGCAAACACACAAGAATGCATGAACAGTGCAATTCATTTGGCAGCCGGCTCACTACTTACCCCATTTAAGCTTCCCAGGTCCTTCACCCAGTGCTCATCCTTCTCCTTGTCATAATTGATGACAGCATGTTGCTTATCCACACTGCGAGACTGAGAACAAAAGCAAAATTAAATTTGGAGTTCACAAGACTGGAGTGCAGACTTTAATAGCAACACTGAAATAACAGGTGAGGTTTTGACATAGAGGAAAATGAACCTACTAAATAGGCACAGCACTTGCTGACACACCCTAAGTAAGAACCCATTTGATTTCTCATAATTTACAAGAAACACAGTCTACCAAAAGGCACCCAAGGCATCGTACAACTTGTGCATCTCTATCTGATCTTGGCATCTCATTGCAGTGTAATAGTTTTGCCTAGTAGTTAGAAAACAGCACAAAAAGTGGTAAACCTGTGTCTGGATTGTATCATTTCAGACAGCAGGTGAGGACTCCAAATGGTTCTCTTTAAAAAAATCTATTCACAAAGCATGTTGGGAAAAGCTTGGGTAGAATCCCTTCTCCCTCAATTGAGTTTTTACATACAAGGAAACGTTTTATAAAGAGAGGGGAGCATTCAACTGTGTGAGTCACAACCATACACAGAGAGAGAGAGAATTCAGACAGCATGACACAGCAAGGTGCTTTTTTTTAATCACTGCTGGTCATTTGTGTGGTCTGACCCCAGCCATGGTTTTTCACCATACCATGGTCTTAGAAACCACAGTAAGAAACTATGGTTTGTTCTATGGTTTCTCCACACCACCATGGCTTTTTGCAAGATCATAATTTCCAGTCCTGGTATGCATTTACCACAGAGTACCCTGGAAAGAGTGGCAACTGTAAAAGCCATTCCAGCCATCCAGCCTCTAAGTCTGCACCAACAAGGAAGAGGTAGGGAACATGGGCAAGGAGTACCTTGGAACTGAATTTCAGGCACAATGGCTGATGTGATTTGTGCCAACAGTGGGAGCAATGATGGGGGGATGGAAAGCATGGTAAAGTAGAAACCACTTGACTGTCTGGTAGATCGTGGGTAAAATAAATAAATAAACCATGGACTCCTGAGGCTACTTTAAGCTTTCTCAGTTTGAGAAGCGCACTGTCCTCAGGCACAGCCCTGATGGGTCAATTTAAAGTCAAAAAAAGGGCCCACTTCCCTTCAGTCCCTTGGAACATGCTGCTGTGAGCACAAGTTTACCAGATACAGACAGAAGCCAGGTGAAAGGGACAGCCAAGCATGCAAAAATACTAAACTAATCCAAGCATCAAGTAGACTCCTGGGAAAAGCTGGGTACAAACTCGACTGGGGTCTGTGTGGAGCTGCCCTTGAAGGAGTCCAAAAATTTTAATTAATGCAAATTATGGTGGCTAAGGGTACTTATTGGAACTGGGCATTATGATCGTGCTCTTCTAGTTTTGTACCACGTAAGGCAAGTTGTGGCAAAGAATCCTCACTTCAAGTACGCACTGATGGGATCTGAGCTCGCGGTGAATGAGCAAGGAAGGGATCTTGAGGCAAGGGTGGGCAGCTCAGTGAAAATACCGACCCAGGGCTCAGATGGTGCGAAGAAGGCAGACTCCAGGCTAGGCATCGTTAGGAACCGAACAGAAAACATAACTGCCAAACTCTTACTTCCCTTATACAAAACCTTGGTGCAACCGCATTTAGAATATTGTGGATATTAGCACCAGGAAAAGGACATTGTTAAGAAAGTGCAGAGAAGGGCAACGAAAAATTATCAGGGGATTGAAGCTGCCACCCTGTGAGGAGTGGATACAACTGGGGCTGTTCTGTCTAGAAAAAAGGCAGATAAGGTGAGACATGATAGAAGTGTTTTAAAAATGCATGGTGTGAAGAAAGTAGAGAGGGAGGCATTTTTCTTGTTTTCCGATAACACTCAAACCCGGCGTCATCCCAGCAAGCTGATTGGTGGGAGGTTCAGAACAGATAAAAGGAAATATTTCGTCACGCAGCATGTAGCTGAACTATGGAATTTGCTGCCATGGGAAGTGTTGAAGGCTGTCAACTTGGATGTCTCTTAAAGGGGACTGAACAGCTTCATGGAGGAAGAGGCTCTCTGTGGCCCCTGGCCTTGCTGACTGTGGGCTCCCTCCTTCACCAGAGGTGGCCTGCTGCATACCCCACTTGCTGAGGAGCTTGGACAGGGGACGGTCTTGCACCCGTCCTGCTGGAAGGACCCTGTGGGTAGCTGGTTGCCTCCATGTGTACAGAGTGCTGGGCTGCATGGACCCTTGGTCTGATCCAGCACAGTTTGTCTCATGTCTTCACTGGTATTGTACTATCTTCATTCCCAGTTTGTTTCTGGGCCCAATGAGAGGCACTGGTATTAACTGATAAAGCCCTTCATAGCATGGCATCCCCAGAGAGGCCCACCTGGCACCAATGTTATATGCTTTTTGGCGCCAGGTCAAGACCTTTTTATTCTTCCATACTTTTAATGTTCAACTACGCTTTTATGCTCAGTTTGTGGATCATTTATATTGTATTATTTGGGTATCTATGTATATGGGATTTGAACTGTAAGCCGTCCTGAGACCCACTGGGTATTGGACGGGGTAAAAAATTACCCAAATAAATAAATGGTGCCACAGCACCGAAAGGAATGCTTTTTCTCATTTCCTCCTGCCAGCACCCCGAGATCCTTGTCTGACATGCTGCTCCAGCATTCCCACATCCTAATATTTCCTGGGTCACAGCTCCAGAGCAGTTTTCCAGGGTGGCTCAAATTATGGAATTCCCTCCCCAGAGAGGTCTGCCTGATGCCTACATTATCCAGCATTCAGTGTCAGGCAAAGTGCTTTTTATTTTCCTAGGCCTTTTAAATGATTTTAATTGCTACTGTTTTACTTTTAATGATATGTTTAATGCTGTGCCTTTAAATCCTATTTTCCATGTTTTGGGTGCTTAGATACTTAACTCTTCTTTTCAAATTCTTTGAACAATTGTTGCTGCTTTTAGAACCTGAAAAAAAAATCTTTTAGGATGTAATCTTACGCATGTTGAAACAGGAAAAAATTCCCTACTAATCCCAGCATTCCCCGCCCCAGCACAGGGACTTGATGAAACACGTATGAGATTACGGTGTGATGTTTAAACCAGAGACGGGCAACTTTTGCAGCTAATGCCTGACTGGGAAGTGCTGGGAACTGCAGTACTTTTTTTCCCGTCCCAAAGTGAATAGGAAGTTTCCTTTATGTACATGATTATTGGTTTTACTCTATTTGTTTTTATTCCACAGGAACTTTGGATGTGTGACAACCCATAAATTGAGCAACTGAACGAACAAATAAGGAGACCAAAGTACATCTGTTTGTCATGATTTACCAGCTCTGACAAGGACATGAATTGTGTGATGGGGGCATCACATGATTACTGGGATTATGTCCTCTCATAAATTTGGTTTTAGTTAATCCTCATTATCCTTGGCGGTCTTTGAAACACACAGGGTCTCAGGTGCAGCTGTTTCAGGATACACTTCTGCAGGTCAGCAGGAACCAATTAAACGCGCTCGTGGCCATTTCTGCCTGCCAACTGCTGGACTTCAGAGGGGAAATCCACCCTTAAAGTCATTTCCCATCGGGGCTTCTCCAATCTCAGTGATCAAAGTGTTCAGAAGATCTCTAGGCTGGGAGCATTAAGGGATTACTCTTTATATGCAGCGTATGCTGCAAAGGTGAGGGGGGCCAATGTGGTTAGAGAGTTTGGCTGGGGTTCAGGAGACCTGGGTTCCAGTCCCTACTCAGCCGTGAAGCTCACTGGCCAGTCACTAGCCTACCTCAAGGGTTGTTGTGAGGATAAAATGGAGAAGAGATTTCCCAAGCTGCCTCTGTTTGCTTGCAGGAAAATGGTAGGGAAATAAATATAATGTTTATTTGATTTTATGTTAGTTTTTATGCATACTGTCACTGGTACATTGTGGATTAGTTGGTATGCATCATTATTATTGACTCTTAATCAGTATTGATGTTCTTTGAATTTTGTTGGCTGTGCAGATGTCATGTTGACATCAATGTTATTGTTGCTCTTATACATTGCTCTATATGGTTTTATTGTACATATATTTACTGAGAACTTTTTGCGAATGAATGGTATATAAATGCTTAAATAACTGTATCATGACTGATTCTGATGTATCACAACATTCCATGTCATGTCACACAAGCCAATTTCTGTCTACAAAACTGGTCTTCCTCTCTTCCCCCCACAACCACCCACACCCCTTCCAGTTCTGCACCAGGAGCTTCCCCAGCCCAGGACCAAGGAGCTCCAGCCAGGGAGCTTCCCAGTCTGGCCTACAAACTCCTTTTGCTGTTAGCTCCTACAAAACCAGAAGGTCTGAACTTACAGCACTAATCCTGGCCCGCTTGTACAGGCTACCTATATGCTTCTGAATTCAGTTCAATGTGCTGATTTCTTACCTATAATAAAACTTTATACAACTTGGGACCACAATACCCAAGGGAGCAGCTCTCCTGTCATGAACCTACCAGAATACTGCACTAATCACCTAAGGACCTCCTTCCAGTGTTTCTTCTAAGGAAAGTGCAGCACAAGGTAGGCCTTCTTGGTGGTAAGCCCCCCTCCCACCCCCATTATGGAATGATCTCCCCAGTGAGGTCTGCCTGTTACCAGCACAGCTATCTTTTTAGAACCAATTTAAATAGGCTCTCATCTCAGGCATTTGGCAATATATGAAGACGTTTTTAATCAGGTTGTCAATTCTTTTCTTGTGGATGGTTTGAATTTGTTTTTAGATATTTATGCTTCCTAGGAACATTTTAAAGTTTTAATCTTTGTAAACCACCCAGAGAGCTTCAGCTTTGGATGACATCAAAATGTAACAGATGAACTAATGAGGCTCTTATCAATGATTGTCCTTAAATACCCCACAAAGAATCGCATTGTTGCGCAGATTTTGAGTTGTGCATTCTGCTGGCAGAGTGCCATTGTACAGAACAGACATGTGCATGTTGCAGGCAGGAGACACACTTACTTGCGAGCAGAGACACAGACACTTGGTATTTGGAATGCTACTTGGAAGAACTGCTGAGCAATTTGGTCCTGCTTACTTCAGAACAGGCTTAA